AAAAAAAAAAAAAAAGAAAATGTGGCACATATACACCAAGGAATACTATGTAGCCATAAAAAAGGATGAGTTAATGTCCTTTGCAGGGAGATGGATGAAGCTGGAAACCATCGGTCTAAGCAAACTCACAAGGACAGAAAACCAAACACCACATGTTCTCGCTCGTAGGTGGAAGTTGAACAATGAGAACGCTTGGACACAGGAAGGGGAACATCACACACCGGGGCCTGTCGGAGGGGGGTCCTGGGGGAGGGATAGCATTAGGAGATATACCTGATGTAAATGACGAGTTGATGGGTGCAGCAAACCAATGTGGCACATGTATACCTATGCATCAAACCTGCATGTTGTGTACGTGTACCCTAGAACTTAAAGTGTAATTTTAAAAAATTAAAAAAAAAACATCAGCTTTATTGTACAACTGAGTCTGAATTCAAAGACAAAGACATGTCTTCAGGTCTGGTTTTTGGAAAACCAGTTTCTTGCATAGTCATAGATTTCTATTTTTCAAAGCTGAGAGGATACAAATGGTGTAGGTTGAGCTGGGGAGCTGGGTGTTGGTATTGATATCTGCGGCCCTGGCTTTGTTTTCATCGACTTGGGTGAGTACTGGAGGAGGCCAGCATCGGGGAATGGAACGATTATGTGCTCAGCTCCTGAAGCTGTGAAAGGCACAACTCTCAGACCTGCTTCCTGGTAGTGTGGATGCAAATCCGGTAGATGTTTCATTGGGGGCGCCAGCTGCCATCTTTCAGAGGTGCCTTTTTAGTATTGCCTTCTGTCTCTAAGAGACTACCGAGGCGTCTGGGTGCCAGGTAGGAAACTCACAATCGGTCAGTCTGAGTTTGAGAACCTGGAGGCAGAAATCACCAAGACATTAGACCCACAGATGGCCAGCAAATCCACCAAATCCCTGGGACAAACAATCCATCGTGAGTCTCTAGGATATCAGTGGTCATAAAGAAACACTCTCCATTTCAGAAGCTTTCGAATGCTGGTGGGTCTGTAGTGAAAATGACATATACAACTCGTGTGTGGTCGAGGGGAGATCCGGGCCTGATGAAACTTTTGAAGGCTAAATGTTTTCATTCTTTTTTTAAAAAAAAATTAATTGTTTTTGAAATGGGGGCCTTGTTGTGTTGCCCAGGCTGGTCCTGAACTGGGCTTAATCGACCAACCCACCTTGACCTCTCAAAGTGCGGGGATTACAGACATGAGCCACTGCACCCAGCCTAACGGCTGAATGTTTTGTTCCAGCAATAGCCTCAGTAGCAGGTTGCAAGGGTCTGTCCCGTACATGCTGGTGGTTGGCTTCAGTTTAAGTAAATGCAAAGGCAAATATATTTCTGACAGAATATTCCTTCTCTTGTGTTAATAGCGATGAGCCCATCTCCTTGGTTAGTTTGACTAGAACACGCCCTTTTTCTTTTCTTCAGGCCGGACAATGCAGTACCAGGGGATGTGCTGGTGTTGACAAAACCCCTGGGGACACAGGTGGCAGTGGCTGTGCACCAGTGGCTGGATATTGTGAGTAAACCACTGCTGTGCTGGGAGGGAGGGGAATGGGACGTTTGGAGGTAATTTTTGTTGGAGAACTTGGGAAGTGAGGTTTTTTAGTTTCATATCCAGGGAGTTAATGTTAGTCAAGTTCTTAAAGAAATCCTAGGAATTGTTCATATTCTTTAAATAACAGTTTTGCACATTGAATGCTTGATTGCAGTAGGTAAGCCCCAGCTTGGAGCTTTAAGATTTTTCTATAAAGAATTTGCTCGGCAGGGGGTTAGCTTTGTTTACTTGGCCCTGAGATAGCTTCATCTTTCATGTCTTAAACATGACTAAGAAATAATATGGAGGATAATGTGTGGAAGGCATGGTGTTTGGGGTATAAATAAAGCCAGGGTTATTGACAGTTTAATTTTTTTTTTTTTTTTTTTGAGATGGAGTTTTGCTCTTGTTGTCTAGGCTGGAGTGCAGTGGCACGATCTCAGCCCACGGCAACCTCCGCCTCCTGGGTTCAAGCGATTCTCCTGCCTCAGCCTCCCGAGCAGCTGGGATTACACGCCACCACACCCAGCTAATTTTTGTATTTTTAGTAGAGATGGGGTTTCTCCATGTTGGTCAGGGTGGTCTTGAACTCCCAACCTCAGGTGACCCATCCGCCTCGGCCTCCCAAAGTGTTGGGATTACAGGTGTGAGCCATCTCGCCTGGCGACAGTTTAAATTGTTTTATGCAGTTTTTGGTGGTTTTTGTTTGGTAGTTTTGCTTTTTAAACTGATTAATAACTCAGAACATTTTGATAAATAATTCTCTCGTGGAGAATGAATCTATCTAGAATGAGGATATGTCTCCTGAGTCATTTTTCCAGTGAGCTATAATCATACTTTAAGATTGGTTTTCTTCACTGCCATAACAACTCACAAATTAATAAGATTGGGGTATATTCTCACGTATCATGGTGCATTTAATTTCTACAACTATCATCTGAAACTACCAGTCCTGAGAAACAGTTGAAAGAGAATAATCAATAATTGCACGTCTTTCATCAGCCTGGTATATCTTAGCTTGATGTAGCAGGGTAGAGAAATTCTCTAAGGCTGCCACGTTCTCTAGCTGATTTTTCCCTCCTCTCCCTGTGATGGGGAGCAGAGCGGAAGGCCATTGCGGGATGTTGCACAGAGGCGCCTTCCAGCCCCACCTCCCAGGCCTGAGCTAGCAGGGAGCTGGAAGCAGGCGAGGCAGGGAGTGTCAGGGATGGGGGAGCCCTTCTCCACTAGCAGGACACTACACTGCGTCTACAGCAGTGCTGCTCTGTGTCCTGCTAGGCTACACATACCCAATACATCACAGCATTTGATTACAGAAACGTGGGATGAGAACAGAAAAGACGCCATGCTGACAGGTCTGATGGACACCTAAAATACTATCCATGGAAAAACCAGAGTTGGAAAGTTCACTTTTCTGAGTTAAAGTCCCTAGAAGTTAAATAAGGAAAAAGTTGCTGTATTTCTCAGTGGCTGGAAGTAAAGATTAATGACATTTTCCTCCCTTTCTCTCCCTCACCTATGTTCCTATTATTAGCCTGAGAAATGGAATAAGATCAAACTAGTGGTCACCCAAGAAGACGTAGAGCTGGCCTACCAGGAGGCAATGATGAACATGGCGAGGCTCAACAGGACAGGTATGACAGGCGGGAAGGGCGCTTTGGTCCCAGGGGTCCAAGATAGTAAATGTCTTAGGCTTTGCTGGCCATATACAGTCTCAGGGTAGGTGGCCAGATTTTTGGCCAGTGACTACAGACTGTCTTCTCCTGGTACCAGGTTGGCGTTCCATAGATCACTGCAGATGGTCCCCGACTTACAGTGCTTTATGATAAAGAAGGAAGTCCTAACCTCTGACGTACCAGAGGGACTGTTTCTAGAAAGCATTTGTGTGGGTTACCTGTGTAAGATTTGGAAGCAAACCATTCAGAATGGAAATACAGAAAGTTTAATATACTGGAGCTATTTCCAGAACATGACCTTGGAAGCCTAGAGGTGCTCCCACTCCCACCCATCCCCTGCATTCCTGCTTGGGGTAACCACTGAATTTTGTGTTTATTTTCTTGCATTTTAGAATGTTTTTATTGCACAGCCCTTGTGTTCTTAAGCAGTAAATTAGTTTTGCATTTTTTTAACTTGTTTTTATCCACCATTGTTCCTGAGAGTCTCCTTGCTGTATGTAGCTGTAGTAGAGTCCTTTTGACTGCTGTATGGTTTTTCCACTACCTTCTCTGCTCTCCTGTTTTGACACTGGGGTGACTGCTGTGGACTTCGTAGGCCCAGCCCTCTCTGATGGACGTGTAAGAGATCAGTACTGGCTCGGCTTTTATGGATAGTGCCAAACTGTCTTCTGAAGTGTTCACCACAGTTTACAATGGCACGCTTGTTCAAAAAACAAGCGTTTTTGAATATGTCTTCTCTTCCCATTTATTTTATACATTTTTTCTACTATAAAAGAATTACGTTCTTATTATAGAAAAGTTTTTAGAAAATGGAAAATAGTAGAGAAAAAGGTTGTCCATAGTCCCTTTACCCAAAACAGCTCCTGCTAGCATTTTTATGTATTCTTCCAGGACTTTTTCACGTTTGGCTGCTGGTTTACTATTGTTTTAAAGTAGTGGTTAGTGTAAGTTTTCACTATATAAGTGGTTAGTATATGTATTTGGAGTGCCTGCTTTCATTCTTTTGACATGACTAATGTTTCCCATATTATATATCCTAGTAAACTCTTTTTTTTTTTTTTTTTCTTTGGAGACAGGATCTAACTCTGTCACCTAGGCTGGAGTGCATTGGCATGATCTTGGCTCACTGCAACCACCACCTACCAGGTTCAAGCAATTCTCTTGCCTCAGCCTTCCCAGTAGCTGGGACTACAGGCATGGATCACCATGCCCGGTGGATTTTTGTATTTTTGGTAGAGACGGGGTTTCACTATGTTGGCCAGGCTGGTCTCAAACTCCTGACCTCAGGTGATCCACCCTCCTCAGCCTCCCAAAGTGCTGGGATTACAGGCGTGAGCCACCGCACCCGGCCTCGAGTCTTTTCACTAAATGGTGCTGGAACAAGTGGACATTCACATGAAAAAAATTATTCTGGATGCAGGTCTTATATCTTTCATAAAGATTAACTCAAAATGAGTGTTTAGTGTGTTTTCACACTGCTATAAATAGCCAAGACTGGGTAATTTATTTATTTATTTATTTATTGGTGATGGAGTCTCACTGTATCACCCAGGCTGGAGTGCAGTGGGGCGATCTCGGCTCACTGCAACCTGTGCCTCCCGAGTTCAAGCGATTCTCCTGCCTCAGCCTCCCGAGTAGCTGGGATTACAGGCGCCCACCACCACACCCAGCTAATTTTTGTATTTTTAGTAGAGACAGGGTTTCACCATGTTGGTCAGGCTCGTCTTGAACTCCTGACCTCAGGTGATCCACCCACCTTGGCTTCCCAAAGTGCTGGGATAACAGGCATGAGCTACCATGCCCGGCTGACTGGGTAATTTATAAAGGAAAGAGGTTTAATTGACTCACAGTTTCACTTGGGGGAGGCCTCAGGAAACTTACAGTCATGGCAGATGGTGAAGGGGAAACAGGCACCTTCTTCATGAGGCAGCAGGACAGAGAAGAGCACGGGAAACTGCCACTTAGAAAACCATCAGATCTCGTGAGAATTCATGCAGCCTGACGAGAACAGCATGAGGGAAACCACCCCATGATTCAGTCACCTCCCACCAGGTCCCTCTCTTGACATGTGGGGATTACAATTTGAGATGAGATTTGGATGGGGACACAGAGCCAGACCATATTGATGACTCGTAAACCTAAATAAAACAATGTAAAACTGGAAGGATAACATCAGAGAAAATTTAGGTGGCTTTGGGTTTGGTGATGACTTTATAACACCAAAAACACTATCTGTTAAGGAGAAAATTGGTAAGTTTGGCTTCATTAATATAAAAAACTTCTGCTCTGTGAAGAACACTGTTAAGGGGATGAAAAGACAAGCCACACACTGGGAGAAAAATTTTGCCAAACACATACCTGTTCAAGGTCAGGTATCCAAAATACACAAAGCACTCTTAAAACTCAATTAAAAAAAAAACTCAATTTAAACATGGCCCAAAGACCTTGACAGACACCACAAAAGAAGATACACACATGGCAAGTAAGCATAAAAGGAAACCTCAGTGTCGTACGTCAATAGGGAACTGTAGATTAAAGCAATGATTGAGATGCCTCTACATACCTATTAGAATGGCTGAAATCCAAAACACTGAGAATAGCCTGGGCAACATGGTGAAACCCCATCCCTACCAGAAAAATACAGAAAATTAGCTGCGCATGGTGGCTTGCGCCTTAGCCCCAGCTACTTGGGAAGCTGAGGTGGGAGGATCACTTGAGCCCAGGAGGTTGAGGCTGCAGTAGGCTGTAATCGCACCACTGCACTCCAGCCTGGGTGAGAAAGTGAGACCCTGTCTCATAAAAAAAACCAAAAGCACTGACAATACCAACTGCTGGCACGGGTGTAGAGAAACAGGAAGGAACTCTCATCCATTGCTGTCAGGACTGAAGACTGGCACAGCCACTTGGAAACTAAATATGTTATTATATGATGCAACGATTGTGCTCCTTGATATTCACTCAAAGTTGAAAACTTACATTCACACAAAAGCCTGCAGACAAATCTTCGTAGCAGCATTATTCATAATTGCGAAAACTTGGAAGCAACCATTCATTTCTTCAGTAGGTGAGTGGATGAATGGATAAACAAACTGTAGTGTATCTGTAGTATGGAATATTATTGAGCAGTAAAAAGAAAAGAGCTATCAAGCCATGAAAAGATGTGGAGGAATCTTAAGTGCATATTACAAAGTGAAAGAAGCCAGTCTGAAAAAGCTCCATGCAGAAGATTCCAACTGTATGACGTTATGGAAAAGGCAAAACTGTAGAGATGGAGAAAAGATCAGTGGTGGCCAGAGGTTATCGGAGAGGAAAGGGGATCAGGTGGAGCACTGAGGATTTTTAGGGCAATGAAAGTTCTCTGTGTGATACTATAATGTTGGATATGTAGAATTGACAGCAAAGGGTGAACCCTAGTGTCCTCTATGACTTTAGTTAATTGTCATGTATTAGTATTGACTTATCAAATACACTACGCTAATGCAACATGTTAATATAGGCGAAACCTGGGGCGAAAGGTAATGGCAGCTTCCTGTTACTTGCTACTTAATTTCTTTCTAAACGCAAAACTGCTCCAAAAAATAAAGTCTATTAAATAATAGGTCGGGTGCAATGGCTTGTACATTTGTACACTTGTAATCCCAGCGCTTTGAGAGGCTGAGGCAGGAGGACTGCCTGAGCCCAAGAGGAGGAGGCTGCAGTGAGTGATGATCATGCCACTGCACTCCAGCCTGGGCAATAGAGCACGACTCTGTCTCTTAAAAAAGAACATTTTTTTAAAAATAAACTTTCATGCAATTCATCTCTAGCAGGAGTACCTTGATATTGAGTGAAGCCTTAAAAAGGGGTAGTCTTGGCCGGGTGTGGTGGCTCACATCTGTAATCCCAGCACTTTGGGTGGCTGGGACGGGCGGATCATGAGGTCAGGATTTCAAGACCAGCCTGGCCAATATGGTGAAACCCTGTCTAAAAGCTGGGCGTGGTGTTGCGTACCTGTTGTCCCACCTATTCAGGAGGCTGAGGCAAGAGAATCACTTGAGCACTTGAGGCGGAGGTTGCAGTGAGTCAAGATCTCACCACAGCACCTCAGCCTGGATGACAGAGCGAGATTCCATCTCAAAAAAAAAAAGAAACAAGTGCTGGTATTTGGTTTTCGGATGGTCTTGGTAGGTTTACCTTCCACTGAGATCATCATCCCTCTGCATAATTTTTTTAGTTTACTGGAAAATTACTATTGATTGAAGCTTCCAATAGTTTTCAAGTGGTTCAAACTGAAATAAGAACTTTCGGATTTCATTATGTCTTTGGTTGATTTTACAACGTTGCATTTTCATTATTCCGATTTGTTATCTCCCTGACAAGGAAGGAAGTTGCAGATCAATTGTGGACGTAAGATTTTTGAGTTGAGGAAAGGTGTTCTTTCTCAGAGTCGTCCTTCTCTCTCCCAGCTGCAGGACTCATGCACACGTTCAATGCCCACGCGGCCACAGACATCACGGGCTTCGGGATTTTGGGCCATGCGCAGAACCTGGCCAAGCAGCAGAGGAACGAGGTGTCATTTGTAATTCACAACCTCCCGGTGCTGGCCAAGATGGCTGCGGTGAGCAAGGCCTGCGGAAACATGTTCGGCCTCATGCACGGGACCTGCCCAGAGACCTCAGGTACAGGATGCTGGGCGCTTCTGAGGACTAAATAGGCTATCCGAAGGCTCCGCGAGAAAGCAGCACTCCCACCCCGAGTGGGCCCCGACTCTGTTCAAGGTCCGTGCTGCCGACCTCAGCCTCTGTAGCAGCTGGTGCCTTTCCTCCTCCCAGTGGGTCTGGTCCCCGCCATCCTGGGAGGATGCAGCAGCCTTGCCGAAGTTGAGTGTCCTGTGTTCTTTTTGATGCAAGAATATGGTGATGAGGAAAATTAGTGAGCATTCAGTTTTTACTAAGCTTTGCATTTGAAATTAACTGTAATACCCATAGGTTACTTTGAACAGGTGATTTTTTTTCCTTGAAAATTGTCTAACGTTGTTTTAAGAATGATATGGAAAAAAAGGGGCTGGGCGTGGTGGCTCTTACCTGTAATCCTAGCACCTCAGGAGGCTGAGGCGGGCACATCATGTGAGGTCAGGAGTTCAAGACCAGCCTGGCCAACATGGTGAAACCCCATCTTTACTATAAACACACAAAAAATTAGGCACATGCCCTTAATCCCAGCTGCTTGGGAGGCTGAGCCGGGAGAATCACTTGAACAACCCAGGAGACAGGTTGCAGTGAGCTGAGATTGTGCCACTACACTCCGACCTGGGCGACAGAGCAAGATTCTGCCTCAAAAAAAAAAAAAAAAAAAAAGAGAACGATATAGAATAAAAAAGAATATAATAGGGTATTATGTCTTTAAAGTGCTTTTTTTTTTAAGATTTGCAGTAATTTATTAGAGGAAACGTAAATGGAGGATAAATGGGAGATGGAGCAAGCGTAGGTTGAGAGAGCTGTCAGACAGCAGTGTAGGTCTGACACCATACGCCCCAGTAGTTTTTGACTCCTAGGGAGTTTTTTATATCCCTTGTCATTTTTCTAAACTTAAGCTCCTTTTGTTTCCTCATTAATTTGGTGGCCACGTCTTGTGTTTCCTCATTAATTTGGTGGCCGGAACTTGTGGGACGTCCTCTCCTTCATCATGGCAGATACTCCAGCATGGCCTGCTGAGGCCACCACCCACAGGCCTACAGGCTCGCCGTCCTTCGTTCCCGCTCCCGCGTCCCTAGCCGGAGCCAGACGGTGCATCCTCCTGAAATGCCATTTTTCTTTTGCCCCCTTTGTTCCTTTTTCCGTCACTGTTTCAGCTTTTAAGTCTCCCTATTTTTTTTTCCACCTTTTTCCACCTTTTTTTCAGTTTTGGTTTCTCTTTTTCTATTTCCTTGCCTCTAGAACTCAGCTTTCTACCCTGCAAAAGAGTGGAATTACCTGGGGATTTTAAATATACACATGCCTGCCAGGCCTGGTGGCTCACACCTGTAATTCTAGCACTTTCAGAGGCCGAGGTCAGGAGTCGGAGACCAGCTTGGCCAATGTGGTGAAACCCCATCTCTACTAAAAATACAAAAATTAGCGGGCGATGTTGGTGTGTGCCCCGTAATCCCAGCTACTCCAGAGGCTGAGGCAGGACTATTGCTTGAACCTGGGAGGCACAGGTTGCAGTGAGCCGAGACTGCCCCACTGCAGTCCAGCCAGGGTGAGACTCTGTCTCAAAAAAAAAAAAAAAAGAAAAAAAGAAAAATACACATGCCTAGCCCCAGCCTCCCAAAAACAGTGGGATGCATCTTGGGCGGGCCTGGGCCTCAGTATGTGGGAAGGCTTCCTGGGAGATTCCATAGTAGGCCAGGGGCAAGGGACCACAGTGCTGGGACCACAAAGCCCTGGTCACATTGACCTGTACAGTGGCGAGGGGGCTTCAGGACTCCACCAGGCCTCTCACCGCCTTTACAGAGGACCCTTCAGCCTCCCGTTTAAAAAAACAAACCGTTTTCTAGAAGTAAGCTCCAAAAGGGCAGGGTTTTTTTCCCCTGCTGGTTCAGGGTCTGGCCAGGATAGTGTCTGCCACGTAATTGGGCACTGAATGGAAATTGAATGAATTGATTAATGTTACCAGCCATTTCAATTTGTTTCCTTTCTTCAGAAATAACAAGTTTTTACCTTTTTTTTTTTATGATGGAGTTTCACTTTTGTCGCCCAGGAGGCTGGAGTGCAATGGCGCGATCTCAGCTCACTGCAGCCTCCGCCTCCCTGGTTCAACCGATTATCTTGCCTCAGCCTCCAGAGGAGCTGGGATTACAAGAGTGTGCCATCATGCCCAGCTAATTTAGAGACAGAGTTTTACCATGTTGGCCAGGCTGGTCTCGAACTAACTCCTGACCTCAGGTGATCCACCCACCTCGGCCTCCCAAAGTGCTAGGATTACACATGTGAGCCACCGTGCCCAGCCACAAGATTTTTACATTTTGTAGAAGTAGACTACAGTTTTTCCTCATCCTCTTATTTCTACTTAGAAAAATAAAAACTTTTCTGGCCTCGCTACTGGAAAGAGCAACAAAGGTTCATTTTAATGTATTTTATACTGTTTGTCTTTTGGATATAATGACAGAGTCAGGACTGGAACCTAGATACTTTGGGGCATATACTGTATCATGAGTCAAATACAAAAAAGCATTCTCAGTAAAATGAGAACGTTGATGTAGAGAATCAGAAGTTCCCTTTTGTTTGTCAATATTTGTTTCAGTGTAGCATGGAAAGAGTAGCTACCACATGGCTTATTGAAGCCCCGAACACCTTACCCCTATACAGTGTTAAGTGGTTCACAAAGAGATCATTTTCACAGTTGAAAGTTGGGGCGTATTATGTGTGTGTGTTAGGAGTTTACTAGCAACTGCTTAATTATAGCACAGAACAGACCTCTTAGGCTGGGTGTCGTGGTTCATTCCTGTAGCTGCAGTGAGCTGTGATTGTACCACTGCACTCTAGCTTGGACCACAGAGTGAGACCCTGTCTCAAAAAAAAAAAAAAAAGCTTCTACTTGCATATAGGTGGCAGCAAGTTGCTGATGGAAGTTGGGTCTCTGCAGAAGCAGTAGAGGCAGAGAAGCTGCTGTCATGTCAACACTAACAGTCATTCTTGTTTTCTTTTGCCAGGCGGCCTTCTGATCTGTTTACCACGTGAGCAAGCAGCTCGGTTCTGTGCAGAGATAAAGTCCCCCAAATATGGTGAAGGCCACCAAGCATGGATTATTGGGATTGTAGAGAAGGGCAACCGCACAGCCAGAATCATAGACAAACCCCGGATCATCGAGGTCGCACCACAAGTGGCCACTCAAAATGTGAATCCCACACCTGGGGCCACCTCTTAATCTAGACAGAAATAGCTGTTTGGTTTTGATTTTAAATAGATCTATTTCCCTTATCACTTCAATTAAAGACTATAAACAACAAAAATCTCATTGTGTCTACACATCGGGGTGACCTTAGGTCTGTTTGTAAGTGGATACAATTAATAAAATAAAATCCATTGCCTTTTTTTCCTGTTACATTAACTGAAGATGCACCTAATCTTGAGGCAGCTTCTGAGTTGAGAATTATATTGTTATCCAATACTGTTGATTCATTTTGAATCTTTAGACACTTATCTCTTGCCGCATAGGCTCTTTTTAAAGGTGCTTTCACATAGCACAGACATTACCAGTAGTCATGTCAAATAGCAGTTGGTGTCTTCATTTTATGTATATTTATCATATAAGTCTGATTTTTTTTTTTAAGCGTCTTGAATGGTTTTCTGGAGAGCCAGCATTGGTAAGTTGCACATGATGGTATCCCAGTCATATCCCAGTCATAGGAGGGTTGCATGATTCCTTTGAGTGTTTGATTTGAAAAGCCTAGTCTTGTCTCTCAAGAGCATCTTGGACCCAGAACATTCTCCGGTAGTGCATTCATTTCAACACGGCAAGTGCTTCTTCACTGCATGGAAAACCCTTTGAAGACAAAAAAGAAATCTTATTTCTTTTTTTGTAGCCTTCCTGATATTTACAGTAATATCATTAACTGTTTTATCGATAGCAAAAAAAGAATACTTTTTGCAATGTAATTAGATGTTCTATAGTGCTACAAGGAATTGCCTTCCGAATGGAGGTTCATGTATAATACTCATTTACAATTCAATATATAATTACACAAATAATTTTTAAATATAATCAATAATAAAGACTGTTCTGTGGATGGTAGTGTTTAATACATTTTATATTTTGTATAGTGATTTCAGGCCTTTTGTTTTCTTAAAATCAGCAGCTGTTTAGCCTAATTCTTAGCATTATTTTGTCCTTTGCGCCAGTACTTTTTTGTGCACGTTTTTTGTGATCTGTGTTAAAAACCTGCATTGCCAACATTGCAGCTCGAACTTGTTATTCAAATAAATATTTAATTTTTTAAATTGCTCTTGTATAATCAGATGCCCCTTTTAGTATTATTTTAGAAGCATTGGGAGGGTTTTGCCTAAAGTACAATTTATCGGGAAAAACTAGATTTTAGTTTTATAAAACTTTTAAGTCTTTCATGGGACCTATATTTTCTTGAATTAAATTTTGTAGTTCTAGAATAAATAGGCAATCTAAAAAGGTGTTATCTGTGTGTCGTAAAGTGGAGGCTTCCTTATATTTTAACCTACTGAGCAATGAGGAGGGATTCGTGTCATTAAGCACAAGGGCACTGGATCCTCAAGTGCCCACCTTCATGAGAGAAAAAGCAGCACATCCTGCATGTTTCTGGTGCTTCCTGCTCACAGGCATCAAAGCCGCACATGTAAACTGACTTTTTGCCAAAGGAAATGACCCCTGGGAAGATCAAGCTCTTGGAAGAGGCTTTAACTCGGACGCGACCTCCGGGAACCAGCGGGCAGGGCAGCCTTTATGCATATGTAACTGGACCTCCAGCCATAAGCATGGTGTGCAGTTTGGAAGAGCCTGCTACGGAACTGAAATTGATTGGACATTTTATAGGAATTGATATACAGATGTTGGTCCTCAAAAGCTGCAAACCAGTGGTCTGCAAAATAAAATGTGTTGGAAACCTCTGAGTAAGATCAACCTACTGTTGAGCTTTTTCTTTTTTTAATAATGACTAAATCTGAACTTCAGTGTAGCCTGTGCCCTTTGCCCTGAGAGCTGGTGTTTTCCTCAGTGGCAGGCCTATTGACAGGAGGGAGCTAAGTGGAGTATGTACTTATGGAAATAATCTTTGAAGATTGCTATGTATAAAGAGAAAATGTTGGGTACTTAGAGATCCGTGTAAGTCTTATGATCCCCAGAGGACGAATTTGTCTTTAAAGCAGTGTTGGCTGGGCATGGTGGCTCACACGTGTAATCTCAGCACTTTGGAAGGCCAAGGTGGGCAGATGACCAGAGGTCCAGAGAAGACCAGCCTGGCCAACATGGTGAAACCCTGTCTCTACTAAAAATACAAAAATTAGCTGGGTTTGGTGGCGTGCACCTGTATTCCCAGCTACTGGGGAGGCTGAGGCACAAGAACCACTTGAACCTGGGAGACAGAGGTTACAGTGAGCAACCTGCAATCACCACTGCGCTCCAGCTTGGGCGACAAAGACTCAGTCTCAAAAACAAACTCTTTGAAACTCATTCTCAACAAACAAAAACCAGTATTGCATAGTGGCCCAGATCCACCTGTGTTAGAATCACCCGGGGTGTTAGAAGGTGACATTCTTGCCCCTGGTTTTTCAGAGTCACAGAATCAGAATTTCTGGGGTGTGGGACTTTGGGAATGTCTTACATAAGGACCCTATGTGGCTATGGCCAAAAATGTTTGGGAACCACTGATGTCAAAGGAATGTTGCAGAGGAAGGCAGGGAAAGTAAGAGGACCTGGTTTTGCAACTTTTGTGTTTTTATGAGGCAGAGTCTCACTCTGTCAGCCAGGCTGTAGTGCAGTGGCATGATCTCAGCTCACTGTAACCTCTGCATCCCAAGTTCCAGTGATTCTCCGGCCTCAGCCTCCTGAGTAGCTGGGATTACAGGCGCCCACCACCAAACCTGGCTAATTTTTGTATTTTTAGTAGAGACAGGGTTTTGGCATGTTGGTCTCGAACTGAGTTCAAACGATCCGCCCGCCTCGGCCTCCCAAAGTGCTGGGGTTACAGGTGTGAGACAGCATGCCCAGCCTTTTGCAACATATTTTGCAGGAATTTTTTCCTCAACCATTCTCTTAACCATTCTGGCCAAATCTTGACCATTCTGTTTACTTCCCACATCTGAGCTATGGCACAGCAAAGAAGCAGAAAAACCTGTATTTTGAAAGCTCCATGAAGACTCAAATGATTGTCATTGAATATTGGAGTTCTTGGCAAAATCTATGTAGAACATTTTAAAAGTCAGCGGACAGGCCAGACACGGTGGCTCCTGTCTATAATCCTAGCACTTTGCTGAGACAGGAGGATCACTTGAGCACAGGAGTTCGAGACCAGCCTAAGCAATATAGTGAGACCTCGTCTCTACAAAAAATAAAATTTAAAAAGTCGGTGGACAGTAAGTAGTCGATTTGACTTTCTGGTAGTCCTTTTATTTTATTTTATTTTATTTTATATTTTATTTTATTTATTTTATTTCGAGATGGAGTCTCACTCTGTCGCCCATGCCGGAGTGCAGTAGCGCAAACTCGGCTCACTACAATCTCCACCTCCCGGGTTCACGCCGTTCTCCTGCCTCAGCCTCCTGAGTAGCTAAGACTACAGGCACCTGCCACCACGCCCGGCTAATTTTTTATATTTTTTAGTAGAGTTTCACTAACACGGGTTTCACTGTGTTAGCCAGGATGGTCTGGATCTCCTGACCTCGGGATCTGCCTGCCTCGGCCTCCCAAAGCGTTGGGATTACAGGCGTCAGCCACCACGCCCGGCCCCTCTGGTAGCACTTTAAAACTTCGCACTGAAGTGTATTTATCTTGGTATATTGATTTGTTTTCTGTAAATCCTATAGTATAGTTGCATCCAAAAATACAATCTGTTAGAATGCATAGAATTAGTGAATACAACCTGAGGCAACTGGATCATGGTGGAGTCAGTCATTCAGGCACTAGGAATAATCTGTGAAGGAATATTGAAGCTGCTTATTTGCACAAGCTGTGTTGAGGTATTTATTGTGTTTCAGTCCAAGAAAAATTGCAATATTGTATAAGCAATATGTACTTTTGGCTCAGTCTTTAAAAATAGTAGATTATAGTCTTCCAAGTTCTGCATGCTTTATAATGAATAAATGTGTTTTAAATTGTTCTGTTTATAGATGAATGAGCCAGTCATTTTCAGTCTGAATTTAGCATTCCCTTTGAAAGAGTTATATCTGAGTTCTCAATCTTAGTTTTAATTGTATAGAGGCCAGAATAGCTATACTGTGCTGCACTTTATTTTTAGGTAACAGAGCAAGCGGAGACATCAACGCTTCAGATACCTGTCGTGTCTGCGTGTGTGTTTTTGTGTATATCTGTGTGTGTGTATATATCCTTGAGTTCCTCACTTCCACACCCAGCCCACCCTTTTCCTCTAGCTTAGGTAGTGGTTGCATAGACATCATAATTTACTTTGAACAGTAATTTATAAATTTTTCTCATTAAGAATCCACATATGAATCATAGTCATGAAATATGCCAAGGGGCACAATGAAAATCACCAATGTCCTGTTAAAAGTGAAGCATGGGAATATCCTCTTATCTATGCTTAAATCTCTGTCTTGAATGAGGACGGGAGTGGATGGATTACACAAGGTCTTCATTCAGTAAGCAGTAGGTGAGACAGGGTGCTCCTATAGGCATCTAGACAGGTTCTGGAATTGCCTGAAATCCAAGCCTGCTGCCAATGCCAAATGCTTTGGTTTGTCTGTGAATTCGGGGTAAGGATGATGCTGTAGGGTTCCCTATGTTTCACAGTCCTTAAATATGACGTCCAGCCCTGAACACACAGTTGATGCTTTCCGTGGTTTTTGTCCTAAGTCCTGTTGCCTTCAGAGGGCGTTTTATGCTTAGGAGAAACTGCATGTAATGAAGCCTATCAAAGCTTCATAGAAAGAAACAGAAAGCCTGGCGCGGTGGCTCAAGCCTGTAATCCCAGCACTTTGGGAGGCCGAGACGGGCGGATCACGAGGTCAGGAGATCGAGACCATCGTGGCTAACA